GAGAGTCTGAGTGCAGCCGTTGTAACCCCCTGTCTGCCCCGCAGCCGCCAGCAGGAGATTGAGGAGAAGCTGATAGAGGAGGAGACGGCCCGCAGGGTGGAGGAGCTGGTGGCAAAGCGCGTGGAGGAGGAGCTGGAGAAGAGGAAGGACGAGATCGAGCGGGAGGTGCTGCGCAGGGTGGAGGAGGCAAAGCGCATCATGGAAAAGCAGTTGCTCGAGGAGCTCGAGCGACAGCGACAGGCTGAGCTGGCGGCACAAAAAGCCAGAGAGGTAACGCTCGGTCGTTTGGAAAGTAGAGACAGTCCATGGCAAAACTTTCAGTGGCGGTTTGTGCCTCCCCGTGGGTTCAGAAAGAGATGGAATACAGCAAATCTAATTCCCTTCTCGCATAAACTGGCATTGCTGCGAAACCTAATTCCCAGCCTATTCAGAGGAGCTCACTGAGACCTAAACAGTCACTCTCCTAAAACCTGAACAAGGATACTTGATATTTAACGGAGCTGACCTATTTCAGAATGGTTTGAAACTTTTGCCATGGCTGCAGGATTTATCAGCGGTCCTTTCATTTTTGGGGAAGGGTATTGAAAAGCTGTAATGATGTATCCTCCTTTTGTTTTAATTTCGTTTACCTAGACTGTAAGAGGCTTTTGCCTTCAGTCAGGCAAAAAGCAGGGCCCAGCAGTGAGCTGCAGTACCTGTCTTTAACAAATAGGTTTCTCACTCTTCATTTAAAATGAACATTTTCCTTGAGCGTCCATTGGACTAATTCTGGGACTTGGAGCATAAGCCCATCCACGTCTTCACCAAGGATCTGTGTCCAAATCATTATATCCATTTTTAATAACTACTAACAAATCCTTTTTTTTTTTTTCCTTAGAACTTAATAAAAGAGCAGGTTGCCCTTGTCTGAAGCCAAGCTGAACATGTGACTTGGGTTTTTGGTTTTTGTGGTTTTTTTATTTTTTTATTATTATTTTTTTTTTTTTAATCAGCAGCTGGAGCAGAAGCTGAAAATGTCTTTCTGTGAGACAGTAATTTGCTACTAAAGGCTTTGATGCCTACCTGCACCAATCATTCCAGGATCCAGAAATTTCCAGGCAAACTAAACTGCGAAGGAAATCCGTGCTAAACGGTCGTGTCTCAAATGCCTTTGTCACTGTACCTCCTACACATTTTATTTTAAATTAATATTGTGATTGGCTTACAAAAGCAAAGACAGGAGCAGTGAAGCTTTCCCTTTCATACTAAATGTGGCTTGTCTGTCACATAATATCTTTAAATTAAAAACCAAAAAAAAAACCCCCACCGAGAACACCGAGTTACAACTAATACTCAGAATATAAAATTACATCCGTTTGGCAAATTCCAACCTTCCTAGAAAGAATTTCAAGTGAATTTAGATGTCTGTAGTCAGCTTCGTGTCTAGAGGTTTTTAATTTGATCAGAGGGGTGACTTTTTTTTCCCCTGGGTGTTTTTGCCATTGTCAGTGTGAGGTGGGGACGTCCCCTCAGTTCTTTGTAACGCAGAATGAGCGTTCATGCCTGGAGTGAAGCGTGCTAGCTAGTAGCTGGTTACTAGTCATAGTAAGAAGTTTTCATATGCTTGCTTTGTTCGTATTAACTTTTTTTTCTTACACAGACACAAACCTCTGGCTAACTTTAAATCTTCCAAATATTAAAATAATTGGGATTTCTATTCGGTGAACTGAAACACCTCAGACTCTCACGCAGTCTTCATATTTATGAGTTGCATAACAGAGTGCCATTAAAAATTCACCAAGAAAAGCAACAATTACAAGGCTTTATTTCCTGACCTTGCCTTCCCTGGACTCCCGAATTCCAAGTTCAGACTGCAAATGACAGTTTCAGCTGTCTTCAAATTGTCAAAATACTGAATGTTAAGTCCATTCTCCCCATGAAAGAAGCCCATAGCTCCATGAAGTATGGATGACCATTTGTATTTTTCACTAACAGTAAATGTATTTTTCTTATTAACTGTTTGCCTTAGGAATGATTTACATATTTTTGTTCCTTCTTATCATAAACATCTGCATTCCTCAGCTCAGCCTCCCTTGTATGTCGTTTCTTTATAAATGGTTGAGCTGCTGATGCAGGTATTGCCAAGCTAACAGTACAAATCATTTTAAAGAGGAAGCTGGCGCGTATGGCAGCCGAGGAGCACACTCTGCAGGACACTGGACAAGACAGTAAATATTCACCTTTTAATGCTGATTAAAGGAGTATAGGTAAAGAATACGTAGGTATACTTAATTGGTGAGACAAACTATTCGCTTTATTTCTATTTTCTATATTACTTTTTAATTTGGTAAATGCTATTCCAGTTTTTTTTTGGTAGTTGTCCTTGTTGATTTGTGTGATGTTAAAATTCTAGTAATAACTTGTCAGGATTCTGTGACTTAGGGAGGGTTTAGTCGGTTGCTGTTTGGACTGGGCGGGGTGATGTAAATCGAGCTCTAGTAACCAGTTTTAGTGGCTCTGCACAGTTTACCATTGTGAGGCAAAACAGGCGGCTGCAAAGCTGCCACGTTAAAGTCAGTTCACAGAAGAGTTCTGAGGAAGATTAGTGAACACGCAGGGACGAATTATTGTACTTTACTAACATCTTGCCCTGTCCTCCCCTTTAGGAAGAAGAGCGTGCAAAGCGTGAGGAGCTAGAGCGAATACTGGAAGAGAATAATCGAAAAATTGCAGAAGCACAAGCTAAACTGGTAGGTGGGGGTGTCCCCAGCCCTTCTGTGGGGGAATACAGGTCTCTCTGCTTGATTTGCAACAGGATTACAATAAACAAATCAGCCCTCTCTGGAGTTTCACTCGTCTGTTGCCGGCCGTGTCGGCGGCGTTGCTCTCCTTCCCCCTCAGCAC